GGAAGCCATGAAGTTTGGAGGGGTTTCACATACTCTTCGTCATTTTAATATCAAAAATGTGTGAATGTAATGGATTTCATGTTACCAAATTTGAATTATGGTGGCATGGTGTTTTGATGACGTTCTTCAATTTTAGCTGACAACTTTTTTGCTAAAACTATTGGTGGTTTTGCCAAGCTGAGATACGATGTCTGTATTTATCTCCAGCAGAGAAAAAAGGATAGGCAGTTTAATTGTATTGCCTTTGCACAACAGTTTATAGTCAATAACTTTTTCTCATCAGTGCTATAATTGTTGGAGCCAAGTAGACAGGGGAAAAAAGCTCGGTTTTAGGTTTTAGTTCAAGTTTTCAATGTGTTAAATTCTGCTGGCCACACCAGTTTGAGAGTGCAAGTGTACTTGTGAAACTGCTGATCAGTTTAGTGTTAATGGCTGAGCTGAAGCCTTTAAAAATCAAATTCTGTTAACCTGTTCTGAAATATCTGTAGTTTTACTTTAAAGCTTAGACAATTCTTGAAATATTTATTTGGGAAAAAAAAAAAAACCCAGCAACTTTCTCAGGAAGGAGTCCAGTGATGTATGCAGCTCTATTCAAGCACTATTTTTAAAAATAAAATACTGTTCAGTATGTTTTGGAGGAACATAAATTTAAGCAAGTGTCCTCCTTAGGAACAGTAGTTATAACATGCTGAAAATAAGCAACTTATTGGACCTACTGTTGGCCTGTTTGGATTCATACCTAATCTACTCCAGCTATGTTATTCAATAAAACCTCTGACATCTCTTCTTCTTTCCTTTCAAACTGAAAAATGAGATGTGAACAAAACAAAGATGCGGTTGATAAACAGAGTTCTCTGCATACTTCTACTCCTAAAATATTAAGGGTCAAAATAAGCTGATGCAGAGCATCTTGCTTCAAGTTTCCTAAGACACTCTGGTGGGTGGAAAAAAATACGGAAACCAAACTTGTAGGAACTGTGTATTGCAGTGCCCTTAGTTGGGTGTATTTTCCTACCCAGTAGTGCTGAGCTCTTCTTAATTAAAATTTTGGAACGTTCATGAATAGGTAGTGTGTTCTTTTACCAGGTCAACCTACCAGTATATTGACAGGTAGCCATAGTGATGGACTCTTACAGATTGCTTCAGGGCCTCAGCCAGGAACTCAGCAGAATGGGTTTACAGCTCAGCCAGCTACTTACCATCACAGTGAGTATATACATATGTGCACTCTTCTTAGTTTTCTAAAACCAGTTTCCAAATGTTCAGGAGAAATAGCGGATTAGAAGTGAGATGCGGAAAAACTCCCTTAAAAACCAACCACTCCTTTCTTTTTCTAGATAGTACTACAACTTGGACTGGAAGTCGGACGGCAGCCTATACACCTACCATACCTCACCACCAGAATGGCCATCTTCAGCATCATCCACCTATGCATCCTGGACATTACTGTAAGTAGTGCAGATTTTCAAATCACTTTGTTTTCAATTTTTTTGAACGGTGGGGACTCATTTGTGGTTATTCTTTACCTTCAAATCCTTTTTTTTTTTTATTATAGAACTACCATTACTATGTTTAGTATATTCTGACAGTTAAATAGGAAGAGCTTGATGGACTTTCCTCCGTTAAAGCAGCAGAGATTAGAAATTCAGATAGCTATAGTGATACCATCTGTATTATAGATGTCTTACTATACCTAACAAAACTAGCATTTCCTTTCTTAGTCTCTGTTTTTAAAGCTTTGCAATCTTGTAGTAAATATTTCCTTTGCAGAAAAGGAAATTGATTCAGAATGTGTTGTTTGGATATTTTTCTTTCAAAACTTGGAAATTCCTGGCTGTTTTTATTTTGTAGAAATTTTGAAGTCATGTGTTAATGATGTAACAATCTACATTAAGCTTTGGAAGACATGTGTCCATGTACACTAGCCAATTTAAAAGAACTTTGTGAAAGCTCATGCAGTAAAGTACTTGTCAATAAAGTGGTTTGGCCACAGCCTGATTCATGAGTACATTTGGCACACAAATTGAAAAACTTTTTCACCTCTGAAATAGGACCACAACCTCTTGTTTTAAGGTACAGGAGATGGGAAGAAAAAAAAAGTGATCAAACTTCTAGTGTAACTGTCTAGCACAGTATATGCATTATAAGAGTAGAGTGCAAAAAAATCCCACCCAAATTAAAGTTTTTCTAAATGTTGTGGCAAAAACAGTTCTTTGTTTCCTTAACCAGATCCCCTGTTTGCAGCAGTCATTGTTAGTGGAGGGGAGAATATACTGTGAGTTAATGTTAGAATGAATTTTCAGCTTGTCTCTGTCAAGAAAATTGTGGTTTAGATATGATTATTAAGTTTCATTATTTTGTTCTGTTAGGATCCCACTTCATGTATTTTATTTGTCAGAAATACCAGGATGTAAAAACTTTAGTGGTGCTGTTGATACTCTATAAATGTTTCTCAGTGCATGTATCTTTCCAATTAATATTTGTAACTGCTGATGATACCACATAGAGCTTTTCTTGGCTGCTGCAATTTCTCACTTCAGAAAGTCGCATGTTTTGACACCTACCAACGTTGTGCCTGTTTTGACATCTTGTTGCAAAAGCTGCCGTTGCTTATAATACTATGTTTAAGTCTTTCCTTCTTGTTCTCTGCTGCCTGTAAGGGGCCTAGTTAGTCTATAAAAGTGGAGAGAAAAAACTGACCGATACCAAGACCATATTTAGTATTTTTTTCTTTAGAAAATGAGTTCTCTAGGGCTTTTTTCCATCTTCAGGGGGTGTTTCTTAGGGTCAAGTCCACAGCATGCTGGGCAACTTGTTCTGTGATTGATGAAACTAATGAAGTGTGGTTTCTGACAGATTTATATCACATGCCTCTATACAATGATTCTCTCCTTGCCCAACCTGGGGGCAGATGTGAAGCCTAAGTCCTATTTCTATTATATCTCCATGATACGTCTGGTTTCTGCTCTCTCCTAGAGCTGGGTCTCTGAGCAGCATGCAGCCTTTCCTTCTGGGATATTAATGGAGCTCTTTGCTCTGCTCAACTTCTGAATTTTTAGGAAACCTCTGAAAGTGTAATTCTTCTGCGGGCATTTTTCTCCCCTGTCAGATTTGGCCAATTGATTCAGAAATTACTGGGATTTATAACATCTGGCATCCTCACAAGTCTTTTTTCATAGGAAAACAAGTTTAAAAAGAAAACCTTATTTTTCCTCGTGTAAAATAAATTGCATGTTTTCTTTTGAAGGGCCAGTTCACAATGAACTTGCATTCCAGCCTCCTATATCAAATCATCCTGGTGAGTAAAATCTAATATGTAATGCTGAGTATTGTGGAAGCTAATAACTTTCTGTTTCGAGTTTGATTTTTTTTTTTTTTTTTTTTTTTTTTTTTTAAATCAAGTACTCTGAAATTTGTGAGATATATATTCAAAAGGGGAGGAAAGAAGGAGAGGAACCATTTTGTGATATGCTTTTGAATTCGGACCTCTGTTTTGAAATAGTGACATACTCTGTGAACTGAATTTCATTTAGATGCCCAAGTCAAAAATTGCAATCCTCAAACCCATGCTGAGCTGGTTCCTACCCTGGAGCTGTCTGAACTCTGAATGTCTTCGATCGATCCTAAACTTTGCAGGGTGCCTGAAGTTGTACTTTTTGCCTGCTTAGAAACATCATGGAGTTTAGGTCATGCCAAAGCCCCCTTGGATCCATGATCTAGAAGTCCATCATCACAGCCAGATACCCTGAAAGATAGGTGTTGCCCTTCTTAGCATTTTGGTGCTGAAGTTCCTCTTTGGACCTTTGCATACAAGCTTGCTCTTTCCAAGAGTCTTCATTAATGGTAGCAATTCATGGCACCAAAGAGGTCTTGTCTTGTGGTACAAGGTGCAAGGTAGTATTCTGCTTTTAACAACAGCAAAGCTGTTGCCTGCACAGGCAGAACTGCGTAGTTGAAAAGCCTAAAAGTTTAATTAGTTTATTCATTGGCTAGTGACTAAATCAGTACCAGAAATAAAACTGTTGATAATTGTTGGTTAATTGCTGGTAGCACACAAGCAGCAGTTACACATACACAAAATGACTTTGTGTGCTTTGTCAGGTTTCCTTGCTTACTTGAGTGTTTGGGTTTCAGTAGCATCCTCTAGGGAGTCTGGGTTTCCTTTTCCTCACATGGTAGCTTCTTCCAAGTACCATGTCTCCTTTGTAGCCAGTTTTTCTTTTTAAAATAGTATGAGTTAAAAGGCACCTCTTTGCTATTAAAACAAACTATTTTGTTCTGCTCCCTTGTTTAATACTTCCTTGTTTTATCCCATACCTGACTTTCTTGTGCGCAGACGAGATCAGTATATGATCTTTGATGTCTTTCCCCCATTGCCCCGCTTTCCAAATCCGGTTTGCTTTGCAGGGAGGATAGAGAAAACTGACTTCACCTAGGAGGTAGTAACTCTCATATCTTAAGCCAGATCTGTTTGAGAGTTAGTTTCTATCAGCCTAGTCATGAACAGGCATATATGTATTAGTTCCTTATGCTAAAGGAGGACAAAATCAAGCTATAGTCATAAGGTGCGGGAATGCAGATGGCTTACAAAATCTAACTGGAATTATAAACTGTACAAAGACTTGTAAGATCTTAACTACAAAACACTGTGGCATTGATGTGTGCTCAAATAAAAAAGACATGCCCATGTTCGTTGTAGTGTTTTTCTGTGCTAGACGTGTCTTTGTCTATCTGAACTGGCTTATGTGAATGTGCGCTCTTACTCTGAATGACAAATGCAGTTGCGGAAGGCTTAATTGATTGTCTGGAATGGGTTTATAGGGGGGTTTGTGCCTTTCAGTCAGTTAATTGTATATATTCTTTAGCTCCAGAATATTGGTGTTCAATCGCATATTTTGAAATGGACGTGCAAGTTGGGGAAACATTTAAGGTCCCTTCAAGCTGTCCAATTGTTACTGTTGATGGATATGTGGATCCTTCTGGAGGAGACCGTTTTTGCCTGGGCCAGCTTTCCAACGTGCATAGAACAGAAGCCATTGAGAGAGCAAGGTATTCTGCAGATCCCAAAAGCTCCAGCTGTCTGTGGTATTTGATAATATTTTGTTTTGCCTTCAGTGTGTGCCTCCCTTTTGAAATTACAAGTGTGGTATGTTTCTTTTAATTGAATTAACTACAGTAGAGTATACCTTTCTAGGCCACTACTGTAATACATTCAAAATGTGAACTGTGTGACAAAGACCTTCAGTGCTTTGCAGTAGCGCATTGCTTTTCATTGCTTTCAAAGACTGTGCCTTCAAGGATAAAATTAGCAACTCATGCCATTATGTATGCAAGCTGAATATTAGCTCTCCACACCACAGAGTGATGTGAGAATAACTGCAATATATAGATTTGTCAAAGGAGGAAAGGAAGGTTGATAGAGAGCTAGCTGGATTTTCATTCATTCTCACCATGCATGTGTTATGCTTTGATGTGGAAGCAGAGAGGACTGAAGCAATCTTGCAACTTTTTTTCTTCTTTGAAACAAAAAGGAATAAAATGATTCCACGTCTTCAGAAATGTCGCATTATGACAGTCAAAACGCTAGATTGCTGTAATATGATCCAAATGAACATACAGTTCTGCATTAAAATGTGGCTTTGTATATATACTTGAGTGACTTTCCATACTAGAATACTGTGGGATTTTACACTTCTGAACAGTGTTTGGTATCCCAGCTCTGTATTGTCAGTGAGTGCGGTAGTTGCTACTCGAATATCATTGCTTCTACATTCTGTGTTTCCCATAGATCTTTACATAGTATTACAGATGGTTTTTTTCTTTACAGATTTTGTGTAACTATATACCAACATACACGTAAGATAGTAACTACAATTTCAAGTCCTTGTATGAGTGGAGTGTAAATTAAGGTATCTCAAATGACTGGAGAATTGTTTATGGTTTATTTAGTAAGGGTCTGATTTATAGTATGTATACACAGGTGCATTGGAACTGTTTTTCTTTTTAAGGTTGCACATAGGTAAAGGGGTGCAGCTGGAGTGCAAAGGAGAAGGTGACGTGTGGGTTAGATGCCTCAGTGACCATGCGGTCTTCGTTCAGAGTTACTACCTGGACAGAGAAGCAGGGCGTGCACCAGGGGATGCTGTTCACAAGATTTACCCAAGTGCATATATAAAGGTTGGTTTGATGTTCCTAGATGAAAATTGTGGGGGAAATAGCACATATTTGGTTCTTGTAAATGTTAGGGAAGCTATGAGATACTGAAATAAATGTAACTTGGCTTTTGATTATCCTTTAAAAAAACTGAAAACTTTCCATTTGACAAGTCACTTAAGATGACTTTTTTAAATGACTCTAAACTGAAAGTATCATCTAGACACTATGAAAGTAACTGATTTTATATTTTGTATTTTGTCACAAACAATCTTGATAGCAGTTTTTTGTATTTTTAGCCTTACAGTTTTAAATTAACTGCTGCTAAAATTTTTAGCGTAGGTTATCTGTTTCTTTACTCTCTCTTCAAAACAAGAAAAGCTGGGAAAGTATGTATAAATGCAGTAGAAGTGTAAAGTGTGTGTTAAAGTGTTATAAACATGAAGTGATCCAGAGGTCACAGAAAGTTGCATGGAAACAAATTATTTTCAGGAGATTCTTATTTGGACATGCCTCTGCCAGACTTGAAACTTTATTTAGGACAAGTCACACTTGTAAAAAATCATTCTTGAATTAGAGGGAAACTGCTTGAAGTTTGCAGTGATTTTTTTTTTTTTTTTTTTTTAAAATCCTCAGTTTTGTAGGCAGGTTGTGTAATGAAGGTGAAAGAAACCCCACCAGCCTCTATGTACGAGCTTTCTAGTATGAGAACAGAGTTCCTGTATATATTAGTGCCAAGTCTGATCACAAAGATATAAAATGCCACTAACCTGAAACCTAGCTGCTGAAACTTCAGGCCTATCAATTATTGGTATTTCTTTTAAATAGACTAAACACATTTCAGTAAGGCAGTGAAGGAGAATAAAGTCTGACGAAGTTAAGCAGGACTTGTTGGCTTCCATTTTTATTTATATGCCTATTTGCTGGAAATCCTGGGATTTAACTAAGAAGTCAGGATTTTATCAGCCTGTAGCATCCTTCAGACTTTGATCCTGCAGTTAGTTCCACACAAGGTACTGCTTTACCCTGCTCAGCTTAGCCAGATTCTGGTATTGCCAGTGGTGGTAACGTCATATGAGGAGAGTCTCTAAAAATCAGCTTTAATGGATTATTTCTGTTAGAAATTAAACTAGTCAGGGAAGGTTTGCTTTTACCCAAGTGTATGGTGAGACTGTAGAAGTTGCTTTGCGAGAGCAAAGGTCCATATTATTGGGGTGGGAGTTGAGGAATTCTTTCCTTCATTGATTTTGGTAAGTCTACATAGTTTGATTATTTTTTTTTTTTTTTTTTTTTAAAAAAGGTGTTTGATTTACGCCAATGTCATCGTCAGATGCAACAGCAGGCTGCCACTGCCCAAGCTGCTGCTGCTGCTCAAGCTGCAGCAGTAGCAGGAAACATCCCTGGACCAGGATCAGTAGGTGGAATAGCCCCAGCCATTAGTAAGTACATTAACTGCTTGGTGTCCTTTTTTCCTAACCTGAAAACAAGTAACACAGCTCTCCCTTGTAACAGCATCCCCCACCCGTCCACCCACTGCCCCTGCAACAGTACAAATGAACTTGGAATGAGGTAGCAGGATTGGGGCGAGGTGGGGCTGGGGTGGCATCGTGGTAAGTCTGTATTCATTCACTTTGTACCTGCTCCACACACCAGTTTTCGCTTTGTAGTCTTTAGGGATGTTGGATATGCAGTACAACAGAAAACATTTATATTCAAGGTCAAATAGTATAACCCTATTACTTTAAACAGAGGTACTTTTGGCTGCTTAGACCCAAGCTTGAAAAATGATTTTTGACATCTAAGCTCCTAAAAACATTACTCAAAGCAGTGGGGATTACTGTGTGACAAAATCCTTGACTAGGTTTAGGGAAACTTACTAAGATTCTTGAGAGGAGGAAGAAGAGAGTGTGATGGTGTTTTTCTCTTTTTCTTTTTTTTTTTTTTTTAAGTTACTCTGGGCTAGGGTTTTCTTAGTTGCTAAATTCTAGATCCTTGAAATTATACCTAAGTACTTTTAAAAGTGTAAGTACTTACATGTCTCAGACTGCTTTATATGCCATAGTGTTTTCTGGATTCCTTGTATTGCCAAATGGCTCTTTCCAGCTATCCTGTAAATTGCTGAAGACATTTTGGGGAATGTATTTAACTACTGTCTTAGCCATACTTCTGATTTGAAATTTGGCAGCTGTGTTCATCTTTTTATTTTATTAGATGTAAGTAGTGTAATTTGTTAACCCAGCTTCCTGCAGATGATCAGTCTTGAGTTCTTATGCCGAAAACGCAGTATTTGGCAAACCTCAGGAATAAGTGGTTTTTTACCTTATTTCCTAAGTAAGGTTTACATGCATTGTATCACATAAGACATTAGGTTTCATCACGTCTGCTTTATTATAAGGAGTTTTATATTTCAACACACTTTCAAGATTGCAGAATGATAAAGAAAAAACATTTAATTGGAAAAAAATGCAAAATAATTGCTGCATTCATTGTAGCAGAGATCTAGAACTATGGATTGGCCTTGGCTGTGGTGAGAGGGAATTGTACATGAAGAAAGAGCCAAGCAAACAGGAATGGCTAAACAAACAGATGATAAAAGAGCATGTCTGTGAACACTTACTTGAAACCTCTCCTGTTTAGGTTTGTCAGCTGCTGCTGGAATTGGCGTAGATGACCTTCGCCGCTTATGCATACTCAGGATGAGTTTTGTAAAAGGTTGGGGACCTGATTACCCAAGACAGAGCATCAAAGAGACACCGTGCTGGATTGAAATTCACTTACACCGTGCCCTCCAGCTTCTAGATGAAGTACTTCATACCATGCCTATTGCAGACCCACAACCTTTAGACTGAGATCCCTCTGCTGCACTGCTGTGGGCCATTATATTGTGAGGATGGTGGATTGTAAAATACAATTCTGTTTATAACCTGAAGATATATTTTACTTTTGTTCTGCTTAATCTTCTAAAACCAGGTTTTAAAAATGTGTTTGCCGCCTTGCTCTTAGCAGAAAGAAACTGAACATGCAGAATTTGGATTTCAGTTATTTTCAGAACTTAATTGTCATAATACATGGCTCAGGGCTTAAAGTGAAAGGTAAACGCCTTATAGAGACTTTACAGTATTGGGTTTGTTCCCTTTGAAACTTTCCTTCTCTATTATGGCATCTTGGTGATAAGCCTCACAGGAGCCTTTTGTATGCAGAATATATATTATATATATATTTATATCTGAAAATTCCTTCTAATAGTTATAAACAGTTACCTTATAGCAACTTTAAAATTCCAGCTGATTTGTGATGTTCTTTTTAGGGAACAATAGTTAACAAGAGACTTCTTTATTTTGTTGACTATCTTGTTATGATTTTTCCAGATTAAAACGTAGAAGCTGCCAAAAAGTGAGGGATGAGACATACGTTGTTGGCATTGATTAAAAATGGCGAGGAAAAGAAATGTGGCTTTTCCTTCACTAGTTTTTAAAAAAGATATCTTAGATTTTTATTTATATAGACACGTGAGTTTTAAAACACTAAAGGAAATGGATACTTTCAGTGCTGGCACTCAATTTAAATGTAACATGAAATACCCAGTCTGCAAAGTTGCCACTGAAATTGCATAATGAGTACCTAATGGCAGGAACATATTTTCATAACTACTACTGACTTCTATGATTTTACTCAAGTAAAACTTGGCAGGTATTTTAAAAAGTTGCATGACTCTTTTTACGTGCATATACCATTAAATCATGTATAATATTACATCAATATTTAGGATCCGGTTTTTGTATCTGTTCACCATTTCCACTCAGGGCAAGATGGCAAACTTGTTTTTATACCTCTTGGTTATTTTAAGCCCTATGCCATCAATGACCGTATCAATTGGCAATGACTTTGTATAGAGAATTTATAGTAGAAAAAATGCAAATGTATTGACTGTATGACAGATACAATATGTATGCTTTCTCTCTAGTTAATAGTATAAATAAAATTATGAAAACCCTGATTTTTATAAATTTAGTTTGCTTCTATTATGTAATTCTGCACCTTGAAACCATTGATCTTGAGTGATGGATTACTTTCCTTTGCAAGACCAGCAGCAGCAGCCAAGAGTGGTAGGAATTTTTGTTGGTTTAAACTTGCCAGGAAGCAAGTCCAATTTTTCTTACTTTCACTGCTTCTCAGCAAAAGCGTGTCCTGAGGATCTCTTTTGGCTATTTGATGGGGTATGAAGAGGGAGCAGGAATTCCTTATTTTTCAGCATGTGTGTAGGGAGTTGGAGCTTAGTAAAACAGAAGTATGTAGACTCCAACTTAAGTCCTTCAAACGCTGCCAGTTCGGTCTGCCTGCCGTACTGTACTGAGCTGACCTGGCAGCACAGTTGTAGTGGTTAACGTAAGTAGAAGTCTTGGAAGAGATTATTCAGAAGCTTTTTGCCAAGTTTCTTGCATAGTTTCAGGAATCTGTAGAGGGCTGTGACACACAGTGTTTAGGTATTGCTTCCTCCATACACTGAAATTCTTATGGAAGAAGTCAGCAGCCACTGTTTCTGTCCTAGATGCGGAAGCACAGAAGACAGATGACTTCGGAGCGATGACCAGAAATGGATGCGTTTTCTCCATATTTTCATTAACAGTGTTGCGTTCTTCAGACTAACTTCTAATGAGATCATTTTTTTCTCTCTTATGTGGTAACTTCTTGACGTTTGGAAAAATAGTGTTTGCTTTTCTCAAGGCCTTTAGTTTAAAACCTTTTTCATTTTCCTTTCTCTCCTAATGATCTAGTTTGTCCAAAAAGCAAGCTGCTTCAGATTCTTGAGGAGCACTTTCAGTAGAGGATTCTGACTACATCCTCAGAGAAGCTTATTAACCAGCAGCTCGGTTATGCTTCATCCACAACAGAAAACTTGATTTGGGGGAAGAAATGAAAAGCCTGACTACATGTTCTCCTTGCCAGCCTCCCTTTTGAACTGTCTGCCCTGCTCTTCTTACTGGTGGTTTGAGGTGCCTTGGCTTCTAGAAGTGTCTAGCCTTCCGAATGATGAATTGCTTGTAACAGACTGTTCATTTGATTAGGAGTCCATGAGCTTACTCCCTGTTTACCTTGTGGTTTTGCAAGGTGCTTATCTTGGAGGATGACTGATCTGTGTAGGGCTACTTCACAGAAAACCCTCTGTACCAGTTGCTTATGTTTTGATTGTGCCAAACTTTGAAAAAATAGTGAAAGATTGCTTCCGCCTGTTGGTGTTCTTGCCTGTAATACAGTCTGAAAGAATTCAGCTGTTAAGACTAGGGGTTTTTGCAGATGTTTTGCAAGTCTCTTCAAGTCGCTACCTACAATGAATGGTACCTACAGTGTAGTATTTAGATGGCCAAAAATGTTCAGGATAGAACAACAAAATAATGTCAGATGAGTTTATCAGAACCAAGAAACCACAGGCTCCACATCAGGAGAAATCTGAACATTGTGAGGCAGTAAAAATACTGAAATGGCATTCATCTTGCCGATAAGATGCAATCGTAACTGTTAAAGGGCAAAATGAGAGAATCTCATTCTTAGTTTTTAATATGCCTTTAACTTAATTTTTGTACTCTTATTTCTTATGACAAGGCATAAAAGGCAGCGCATAATGGATTGGAAACCCTTCAGCAGCAGCACATTGAATCTTTGACAGTCTTGCATTTATGTCTTTTTCTGAGATTCAAAAAAGAGCTACAGCTACTTGACAGCCGTGACGATCCCCGTATGCACTGTAGGCAGGGATGTCAAGAATGCCAGAATCGCGTCTCCTCTTCAGCTCTGAATGTCTCAAATTCGGTGAATTCTACAAGTATTTTTTCAGCTAGCGATCTCTTGCTTACGATCCTGTTCCCACGTCTGCTCTGCTTAGTTCTTTCTATGAAGTAATTACCCCTGTGTTTCTCACCCTCAATTATGCACTCCTCAAAAAAAGCATTGTGCTGGAGTACTTTGTAATTTCACTTCATGTACTGGAGAGCTGGGATTAGCACCGGAAGGTTTAGACGGCTTAAGCCGTGTTATTGTTAGTTTTGAAAGCGAGGGCATTTAAAGTTAACACGGTAGAGATGTAAGAGAAGAAACCTTTCTTCTGGAATGGTTTAAAAATACTTGAAACAATTCTAACAGGAATCCCTTGGAAGGAGCTGTAACTGCTAAGCTGTGCTGGTTAGAAACGGTTGTTCCGTACATCACTTTTCTGGGCTTGATAAGAATGATGTGCTCAGGGACCTGGACCCCCAGGCTGTGATAGAAATCACTTCATTAATGGTTCTAGCATACTGAAAAGCTGGGAAGTACTCTGGCTGCTTTATAGAGAGGGACCTAAAGGAGAAAGGAGACAACGGTCTCCCCCAGTCACGAAACAGGTCTGTAGCAGCAGCAGTCATTGAACCTGTGTCCAACTCCTGTGCCTTACCTTTGAGACCATCTTACTTCTTGTGACACTTCAAAAGATGACAGCGTCCTCTCTGCGTAGCTCAGGAACGACTGCCTCAATTCTTTTACTGGGAACCATTAAAAAATTCCTATGCCAGTGTATGTGGGGGGGGGGGGCTTCTGCCTCTGAACCCTTCAAACGTTGTTTACGTCTTGATGGTGGTCTTTATTGAGACATCTTTAATCTCTTCTTTGAAGAGTAAGCGCTTTAGAAAGGACTGTCTCCTTGATTTGCATTTTTACTCTGCTATGCAGAGTGACTGGGATCGCCCGTCACTTCTTTAATGCAACCAGTTAAAGACAGCCAGATGGGTCTTCCTCTAAGTGGGATTCAGACTTCATTTAGGAAATCCTCTTTCCTCCCTGCTTCTCTTGTCAGGCCCCATGCTACTTTACATCTGCTCTATACAATTATAAGATGCTTAGTTGTCAGGTATTGTTAAGGACACAATTTTTGAGAGGTTACTTTCTTTTTGTTTTTTGAAGTAAGACTTAAACATTAAAAGCGATGGTCTTGCCTGGTCCTGCTGATAACAGGAGTGTTTCCATGACTGGTAACGGGTTTTTGAGGACCATGGCACTGTTCTTCGGCCTGAGATTTGGAGGTCGCCTGTTGTAGGCATTTGCATTATTCATGAGCACTAAGCTGGTTGCTTCTACCCCTGATGCGAGTAGTTGGCACTTTGGTCCTGGACGGGGAAACAAAACCAATGGAAGGCACTTCTCCACCAGTCCTGTAGGAGCAGGATGCTGAATCGTTCTGTCCAACGCTATTCTTGACGGTGCGTTTCTGAAAATGATCCGGGAGGTGCGACCATGCCGAGTCAAAGGTGCCGCATACGATGCTGCTGCGGTCCCCAAGAACTGATTCGACTTTTCAGCGCGTGAAAGTTTCACTTGGTGAGACCTGGTGGAAAGCAGAACCACTGTCGACAAAATCTCCAGAGGTTTTGGCACTGCTGGCTGCTGTTGTGCCTTGTGAGTGATACATCGCTCCTAAATTTACAGGGCTTAATTCTTTCAAGCTCACTAAAATCACCTAGCGCTTTCTTGCTCCACTACCTTTTTCTGTGTCTTTTTGGTGAACTTTGGTAGCACTACTAAATTGTGATTCAGCTAGATTGAGAGCTGCGAAGTACCCGTAACCCAAAACTCACCATGAGAGGGTTTTTTGAGCATGAAAGCCTAGTTAAGCGTTTCTTCTTTTAGCCATTGCCTTTTGATAAGCGGTCAACAGAATTCCCAGTAGTTCCTTTGTAGCTTACTGTATGTTTTTCATTAGACCTAGTTTGTGGATAATATACTGTAGTTAACTTTCCTGAAATTCTGTAACAGAGTATGTTTTTGATTAAAAAAGGTAAAGATTCAAGTCTTTGGCTTCTTTATTTCATTCAGTGGAGAG